CCTTCATTTGCTCCTGTGTGCTCTGATCAGACATATCCCTCTCCCTGAGCTGCAGCTTCAGTGCTGTCTTCTGAAGTAAATTCTTTGGGGGGTGGGTGGGAGGGAGGGGGCGGCGGCTGTCCACATGGTTGGGATTGGGACCGGCCCCTCAGACCTCTCTACTGGTTCCCTGCTTCATGCGGGTATGTTGCATTCATATCTTGGAACGCCTGGTACTAATTTTTAAAACACTGTTGAGAGATGGATATTGGGCCAATGTAAGCTAACTACATATCACAATGCCTGAATTATTCACTTTTACAGAATAAGTCCTTTCATGGCTGGACGCTATTTACACAAACAATGGACATTGATTGTCAGGGAAATTTTACAGTACTGCCCACTGACAATGTCCATCACAAGTTTTCCGGAATCATATATTTCTTAATACAGCATATAAGGCACTGATGCAGTAAGTCCATGTTTGTCAGCTTACTGACAGTTCCATACGCTTGGTCTAGCTGTCTTCTGCTTCTTCAAACACCATTAATTTTCAGTCTTAAGTTCTCGGGTTACAAGTGTGTTTGAGATAACAGTCCAGTTCACCTAGCGGAATTTCCATATCAGATTCCTCTGGTGTGGCCTTTGGGGCATGTTGTGCACCTTGAAAATCCGGGATTTGAGGCTTCCGTATTCAATGGCACTTGGCCTGGGTCCCCAGGAGGATCAGTGCTTGATATATGGGTGCCTCTGGACAACCCAGCCTCTTACCAGGTGTTTCCCACACTCAAGGTTCTTGACCCGGAGTGATTGAGCCCAGCCCATTACCATCTCAAGCTGACCAGCGAGACCGATGCACTGCATGTGCTTGGAAGCTAGCCCTGGGGACGACCATTCAACCAGGAGGCTGATGGTGAGTCCCCCACCCCCTTGCAGTTTCTCATAGGGTGTTTATTCTTGTTTCTTCTACTAATACTAAGGGCAGGTTTCCTGCAGATGGGCTACAAATGCTAAGGTTCAATGACCGGCCACACAGACTATAGAATCCATCTGCAATTACAATGTTTATGGGCCCGGGAGGGTCCCATAAACTCTGGCTCAAGGCTAGATCCTCTAATGGCTAGTCTTCCACTTCCCTCCTTTAACAGTTTTATTGGCAATTCATCCACATATCATACAATTTGATAGTTTAAGCATATCAAGGAGAGCTGCACAATCATCACCACAATCAGTTTGAGAACATTTTCTTCTTCTGGGTACTCATTGTTACTCATGTAATTTTTTTTGAATTGTGGCAAAGATGTACCCAACAAACCAGTCTCTAATTCCACAACGTCTACAGGTGTCATTCGGTGCCATCGATTAAACTCTTCGTGTTGTGCAACTATTATTCATATCCTTTTCCAAAGTATTCTACCACCATTAACATAAACTCAATGCCCCCTAAGCAAAACCTCTTCCTCCCTCACCATGGTAACTATATTTGAAGTTTACTTTTTCTTTTTAGTAGCTTTCTTGATACAATACTCACATCTCATACCATTCCATAGTTCAACCGCTTCTAAAAAGAGTTATGTATACAACATCACAGTCAGTTCTAATGCTCCCTCCCCCAAATGGCTGCTCTCCTATCAGCGGTGTATCTCGGGTTGGGGTCTAGAAGGGGGTCATGATCTTACCAGGGCTTCTGGTGGCAATGAACATTCCAAGCCCTGGCTGAGCTCATAGGAAGGGCCAAAACAGACTGACTCAAAAAATCAACAAGACGAAGGATGCTCACACCATAACAACCCCAACTTGTTGCCACCAAGTCAGTAGTGACTCATCATAACTGACCCCATCGCACAAGGTAGAACTGCCCCCTTGGGTTTCGAGACTGCACATTTTCACAGGAGTAGAAAGCCTCATCTTTCTCCCTCGGAGTGACTGGTGGTTTTGAACTCCTGACCTTGCCATTAGCAACCCAAAGTGTAACCCACCACGCCACCAAGACTCCTTAAAACCCACTGCCATCAAGGTAGTTCCAACTCATTAGAAGCCTATATAGAGCAAGACAGAACTGCCCCTGTGAGTTTCCCAGGTTGTAACTCATTACAGGACTACAAAGCCTCATCGCTCACCTTCAGTGCAGCTGGTGGTTTTGAATTCCTTACCTTGCGGTTAGCAGCCCAATAGGTTGCCCTACTATGCTAAAGAAAAAAGAGTAAGAGGGGGGCTGTGGAGCTCTTCCTCGGTACCAGGATCAGGGCCCCGAAGGCACAGAATTCAGGGGACCCCATTTGGGGACAGAAGACTCTTGGACCAGAGAGAAGAGGGGGTTCCAGTGGGTCGCAGGACAAGAGGTGGTCTCTTAGGGCTGCTTGCTCGCCTGCCCAGGTCAGAGATGGGCATGCCTCTGAGCCAGCAGGGGGTGCTGCTCCTGCTGCAGGAAGCACGGGGCCTCCCCTCTGTCAACGATGAGGCCTCACAATTACCCCAAGGCCCCCAGAATCCTCCGGGGCCCCAATTCTGCCCGGCCTGCTCAGCCTCCCCTTCACCCTACCAACCCCAACCCTGTGCTTCTGGCCCTGAGCCTGGCCCCGATCAGCTTCCTCGGGCCCCAGGCCCATCTCTGCTCACCCAGCCTCACCTGGGGTCTCTCTCCTCCTGGTCTGGGGAGGAGCCCCACCTGGCAAGGTGTGGCCAGACATGAACCTAGGCAGACGCAGGGAGCAGCGAGGGGACAAGGGCGGAGGCACCCTGAACTTAAGGGCAATAGACGGATGAACAAGGCTGCCTCCGTGACAGGCATCCCTCTGGTTTACAGTGTAGCAGGCCAGAGTCCGGGCTGTCAGACTGGGGCAGGAATTGAGACTATGGTCCAGAGAAGGTAGGATGCTTCCAGCCGGCAGGAGGCCAATGGAAGCCGCTGAGTTAACAAGGGGACAAGGCTGGTGCCCACCTCCAGACAGGTCTGTGGCTTCTGCGGGTGGGGGACCCCGACGAGCTGGGGGTCCTGGAGTATTGGCCCCACAGCCCCACTATCCCCACAGCCTCACAGAGAGCCTGACATTGCTAATCTCCATAAGTCAGCTCTCTGATGGTACAGACCAGAGCTTGGCGGTCAGCATCTGAACCCTAAAAGTGCAGCTGGGGACAAAGAGGGAGGAAGTGGGGGCGGGGAAGGACAGGCCTGGCTGGGAGGGGGAAGAGGAGGGGGCCATCAAAGAACTGCCTTCCCTCACACGTGCTCATATGTTTATTAACAAGGAGCAGAGGGGCCCAGCCTAGCCCAGCAAGGGTCAGGCCCTGGGGGTCCCCAGCCCCAACCCAACACCATGGCAGCCCCCCCCCCCGGGTGTCATGGGCTCAGGATGGGTGCAGGAACAGGGGAGCCCACAGCAGAGCGCAGGGCAGCAGCAGGAACAGCGAGGAGTCGTCCATGGTGGGGGGTCCCCGGGCTAACACCTTCTGGATCCATCTGAAGTACTCGCTGACGTTGGTGTAGATGCCGGGTCGGTTGGGGCGCCCGCAGCCCACGCCCCAGCTCACCACTCCCACCTGATACCACACGTTGTCCTCTTCACAGACCAAGGGTCCCCCAGAGTCACCCTGGGGAACAGCATGTGTGAGCCTGGGGGCAGGGGTGGGACATCTAGGCCAGTATAGAGGAGAGTGGGCAGGGAATCAGCTGTACAGTGGTCAAGCAACCCCTGCCCAAGCCTCGGTCTCTGCAGCTACCACGTGGGATGGCAGCCTTTCCCTCCCCAGGCAGGCGGATGTCCACCTCCCGGCCTTGTGGGACCCCAAGGACGTGTGGGATGGGTGGGGTCAGCAAAGGCCATGCTATTCTCCAGGAAACACCTCTGGGGCAGGGTAGAGAGGGGATGGGGTCCCGGAGGCTCTCCTGGGGTTGAGGGTGCACTCACTAAGCAGGCGTCCTGCCCTTCCTCCGGGTTGCCGGCACAAACCATGTCTCCAAAAATGCTGTGGCGAACATCGGGCTTTCTGAACAGGTGGTTACACATGGTGTGGTTTATTATGGAGATCTGCACCTGCTGGAGGTTGTAGGGGGGCTCCAGCTCTGGTTGGGGAGGAGGGGGAGACAGAGAGAGATGGCCGGCTGAGGCACAGGCTGCAGGGTGAGCTGTGGGGCACCCGCAGGGCCTAGGGACAGGGCTCTCCGTCCAGCTCTTGCCAGCACCAGGACGCAGGGCGCACTGAGCAAGGCCACAGAAGACCGGGAGAGGACAGGCTGCCCCAGTTCCCCCTGATCTGACTCAAGTTTCCTGATCTGTAAATACAGGATGGTACCTAACCGCGCCCACAGGGCAGATTCCTGGCCAAAGTATGTACAGGGGTGGCCAACAGCTGGGTGGGGGAGGATGACATGCCCATCGGTGGATCTAGGCCTAGGATGTGCCCTGGACCTCACTTCCTTCACCCTTTGGGGGCTCCCTCAACTGGGGGGGAGGCAGGTTTGGTGTGGATACCTCCCTTCCTGGGGCCAATGCCCTCAGCGGCCTCTCTTTCCCTCTCTGGGTCAAGGAGACCTGGTTTCTCCTCTGTTTACTACTTCTGGGGCCAATGGGGATTCCCTGAACTCTCGAAACCTCAGTGTCCTAATCTGTGAAATGGGTTTAAACACCTCCCCAGCTCGACTTCTTGCAAAACTGAGTTCCAGGAGGAACAGACTGGGTTTTATGTCACTTTTGGATCCCAAATGAATCCAGGCCAGGACCTGACACATGGCCCACCCTGGGAATAGTGGAGCAGGGACTGCAGGCAAAGGGAACATGCCCAAGGGGTTTCAGGACCAGAGGGCCTTTGAAGACTTATGGTGAGATTTAAGCAAATGCTAGGTCCCTGGTAGCCTGGGGGCTGTCCTGGGGACACTGGGGGCCTCAGCCGGGAGCCAGGGTACAGGAGGAGGCACAATGGGCTCCGGAGCTTGGAGTGGTGGGCTGTGCCCTCTGGAGGGTCGACATGCACTGGGGCAGATACAGGGAGCAGCTGGAGAGTTGAGGGTGGGAGCACCCCAAAGTTAAGTGCAATGAATGCATGAGAAAAAGTAATCCCTTCAACCTCACCGACAGGCCCCCCCAAACCCCACTGTCCCAATGACAGATGGGGCAGGTCTGAATCCAGTTGCCCAGCCTTTGCAGCACAGCCTGCTGTCCACAAGCTCTGGCCCAGAGAGAGAACCAAGCTGTGGTCCAGGAGGCCCTGCCCAGCAGGTGGAGGGAGGATGCTGAGTGGGCCCGCAGGGGACCAGTGGGGGCTGCTGGAGTGAACAAGTGTGCTCCCCAGCCCCACCTCTGCCCTGGCCTCACCTAGGTCTTCCTGGATATCCCCCCAGCCAGTCACCCAGCAGTCTCTGCGGTTCTGGAACTCCATGGAGGAGTTGACCACACAGACAGGCCGGATGTGCGGGCGGTAGGTGACGGAGGACACGAGCTTCACCAGGGCGATGTCGAAGGGCGAGTACCCCTTGTAGTCAGGGTGCACCACGATCCTCTGGACTTGATAGCGGTTCTCATAGGCCTGCAGGTTCCAGATGGAGGGGGCGGCCGACAGCTCGCCAAACTGGATGCTCCAGGAGAAGGCATCGCTGGACCTGGCAGGGAGGTGGGTGCAGGCCGGCAGTTCAGCAGGAAACACCCGAGTCCACTGGGGCCCTCCCTCTCCATGGTGTGGGGGTCAGGAACCTTCCAGGAGACCCCCGTGACTTGTCCTGCGTCTGAGAGCCCTGCTCCAAGTCCTCACATCCTTCCGGTGGGCCCAAGAGGGCCCTGTAGGAACGGCAGAAGCCCTGACCCCCAGCCCCCAATTCTGAACCTGGGGCAATGGGGGGATGCGCGGGCCAGGCAGGCACTCAGTCAGTCTCTGCTTCAAAGACACCTGCCCTGGGGCCAGTCCTGCAGAGGGCACAAGGTGGAACCATCGCCAAAGGCTGGCCCCTCGCCCACAGGCCAGCTTCCTTCAGCTAAGGTAACTCCTCCCACACCTTCGCCACAGGTGCCCCCCACCCCGAGGGTGGTGCCCGTTGTTTCAAACGGAAGGTTTCAAACGAAAATGTTCTGGAAGATCATTCTAGAAGACAGCGTGCCCCCTCCCCCGTGGGGCACCGATGGGAACTTAGGTGGAAGCCACTCCTTCTAGGCCTGGAGGCTCAGAGGACCCAGGGCGGTGTTCACGTGGGAGCCCCACAGCCGGGAGGTCCGTGCCCCACCCCCACCCCGGCACCCCCAGACTCACTCTTGGAAGCAGTGCGCCGCCGTGAGCACCCAGCGGCGGTTGAGCAGGCTGGACCCACAGATGTGAGAGCCCCAGAAGCGCAGGCTCCCCTGCCACGGCCAGCTCCCCAGCTCAGCATCATGGCCCCCCACGATGCGCGTGGGGGCCTTGCGGTTGCCACAGGGCACTGAGATGGACAGAGGGACACGCGGCTCAGCTCGGGAGGGACAGGCCCAGTCATCGTCACCTCATCCAGAGGCGCAAATGGAAAGGGCTCCCCAGGGTTGCGGAGGGAGACAGGGCCACCGGACTCTCACCCACCCAGTCCACGCAGCCCGCAGGTCCGTCCCCTCCCCCTGGCGCTTCCCCTACCTGTAAGCATTTTCCTCTTCCCGTCACCTGGGGGAGGGAAAGGGGAGATGTGAGGCCCCCAGGGACACACCCCTCAGGCCCCCTGGGGACCCTCCAGCCAGCCCACCCCCACCCCCGGGCCCAGGTGCCCGCCCCGAGAAGCACACCCAGCCCTCACTTGAGATCGCGAGCTGTGGCTTTGTGCCCCGTGACTGTGAGGGGGCTGCAGTGGTCGGGTCCCCCTGGGCACGCCCGAGCCCGCCCAGCACCCCGAGTCCGACCGGGGACAACAGCAGCCATAGAAGCAAGGCGCCCATGGCTCCTTCCCACCAACTGGCGCCCATAGAACCCCTCCCCGAGCCGGGCCTCCTGATCAGGACTGCCTGGGACCCGAGGGCTCACGTGCAAATGTCCCTAACTCTGCCCTCTCTCCCTGGGACCCCGAGGTCTCATATGCCCTCATTGGGAGGTCCCACTGAGGCTACGGCCCCCAACTACAAACCTGGGTGCCCCCAATGTCTTTGTCTCTGCCATCTCTATTTTCGGAGGTCCCAGGATCTCACCGGCCCTCTTTGGGGCTCCCACTGGGGCTAGGTCCCAGCTACATACCCCCAAACTCCTCTCTCTCTCTCTTCCCTGGGACCCAGGGACCCTGGCTGGTTCTCCCACTACAAGGACCTGCCCACAGCTGGGGGCCCATCAGGCTCCTTAGCGGTCCTCACTGTGAACCTCCTTAGATCTCCAGAGCTGCGATTACTAGACCACAGGTGGGTGGTGTTTGTTGACTTTATTTATTTGAGTGTTACAAGAAAAGCAGATTCTGTGTTGTTTTATAGCCCATCTAAAAAAAAAGAAAAGAAAAGAAAGAAATTGGGAAAAATCTCCCATTAACCCGGCCCTCACCCCCTTATGTAACCCTGGTGGTTTAGT